GTTTGTTCACTGTATGAAGAGGATATGAAGAATGTAAATGATACCAGGGCACGTCTATTTAACACTGGCAAACATAAGGATTATACTTATGCACCCAACAATGATTCACTGAAGAAGCATGTGGCCCTCAAATCAGTTCTTGAGTTGGCAAACTGCAAGTGTAAGAAAAATAGTCGAAATAATTTATGCAAGTGTGCCAAAATCAACTTAAATTGCACAGATTTTTTGTTTTTGTATTGACTGCAAAAATCACAGTAGGGCCTACACTTATAGAGGAAAAGTCGATTTTCGAGATAGTGGATTTCGAAAACAATTGAGAAGAAAGTGAATTAGATATTGCAGTTGATTTAATAAGTATCATTTATTTTAATTTTTTTTCGAACATTTGTTAGTGTCATAGTCCTGTTTCTAGAAATAATATTGCCTTTGTTCAAATACATGATCACACAAACTAAAAAAAGACTAATTGTAATATTTCTGTTCACTATGTTATAGGCTTGCACGTAATTGACAAAAATCAATTCCGTAATTACGGCCAAATCGATTACGTAATGACCCCGTAATTGCGATATTTTTTCACACTTTTAAACCTTTCATAACAACCAATTTAATCCACTTCTATTCCGAATGGGACATCGACAGTTGGGACAGTTTGGTTTCCATATTTCCGCCAGTACTACACGCCGGCGACAGATGCTAAAGACAGATATCAAGGAGTGAATTCAAATTAATTTTATTCTGATTTTTATCTTTTGTGTTAGCTTTGATTTTTCTTTATCAACTTTATCTTTATTTTATGGGATCAATCAACGACGAGCGTATTCTCTCGTTTGATTATACTTGCGCTTGCCTCGCGACGAAGACTTGTTATTGTACCGTTTTTTTACATTATCCGACTTTACTACCTAGTTAGCATTTTATAATAATTATTGATGCCGACTTATTGACGATATTCCGATTACCATGCTTCATTTTACATTAAATCATTTCGCGGCCTAAATGTTATAACATTATTTGCGATAAATTTAGATCAAATATTAATTATTTGCGCATAATTTAAATACCGTACCTATATGACATGCCTTCTCCGAAAATACAAAGTTATATCGCAAAACAATGCATTTGGTGACATTTATTTTGCACTCACGAAAATATTAATTTACTTTTCTAACTCAAGTCGACAATCCTATCGGCTAAGATTGACACAAGTTTGGTCGAGTGCCGGTGGTATTTGAGTCGACGATAAATCAAAATAAGTTGCCGCATTTGGTAAAGACATATTTGGCCGAAATAGCGCGAGGCATTGTGAAAACAAGGCCAAGTCCGGACAGATATATAACGATAAAACTGGTAACAGAACATCAAGATTTTGTAATAGAAAATGGATCTCGCGCAGAATAAACATGGGAAATCCCGTCTTTTTGTTGTTTCTCTGCCGTCTGAATCGCTTTACCGATGCCGAAAAGACTAAGTTGCGTTGGTTCATTACGCAATTTCTCTTCCGTCGTCATATTGCTGTTTGATAAGCGCGACATTAATTATCACGGCATTTACAAATAGACCATGTTTGGTAAGTTGATCTCTTACATTCTTTAGTCATTTCACCCGAAGAAGTTGAAATCAGGTGTGTTGGCATCCATCGGTCTCAACACAATTCTATCCCATATCTACGCTTAATATGTACATTTGCCATGCTAGATAAGTTGATAATAGGCTAGTAAATGACAACGCGTTATGCCTTCTCCATCTGCGTAACAAGAGAGAGAAAAACGGCTGCGAATACCGGAACTCTAACTTCTTCTACTTATTAAACTTTAAATTTTTACAATCGACGGAATTGACTGCTCTAAAGAGAGCTCGTTTCAATCGTGAAAGCGCTCCACCAATAATTACGAATTTACGTAATTCGTAACTTCGCTTCCGTAACTCGAAATAATTCCGTAAATCCGTAAATTACGTGCAAGCCTACAGTATGTTATGTACATATTGTTCATTCATTTAATTTTCTTGACTTTTCTTCGGTAAATTTCTAGGTGAGAAATAACTGATTTATTTGTGTTTTCATGCTCACGATGTTAATTTGTGACTTCATTTCTTAAAAATAAATACGTTTGATAGCTTCTATAAAATGGATGTAGCTTTTTATGCTGTTCTTGTTGTAAATTGCTTGTAGTTATTACATAAAATTCATTCGCTAATGTGAATCAGCATTGTGGGTGTCGCTGCTTCCGAGGTCACTCGCCACTCCTGCCACACAATTAAAATATTTTTTGTTGTTGGTTACATGTATGCCATATTTTTCGTAATCTACCTAATAAATTATGATTGACTGAGGAAGTCCGATTTTGGTCAGGCAGAACATTACAGGAATACTTTTGTGTTAGTGTGCTGTAGGGCTCTCGAATTGCATAGTTCTTATGTATGTGTTGTGAACTTATGGTTATTGAATTTCCGGGAACCTCTTATATTCAATTTCGCATCGGGATTGTGGTATTTGTGTTTTCATGCTCACGATGTTAATTTGTGACTTCATTTCTTAAAAATAAATACGTTTGATAGCTTCTATAAAATGGATGTAGCTTTTTATGCTGTTCTTGTTGTAAATTGCTTGTAGTTATTACATAAAATTTATTCGCTAATGTGAATCAGCATTGTTGGTGTCGCTGCTTCCGAGGTCACTCGCCACTCCTGCCACACAATTAAAATATTTTTTGTTGTTGGTTACATGTATGCCATATTTTTCGTAATCTACCTAATAAATTATGATTGACTGAGGAAGTCCGATTTTGGTCAGGCAGAACATTACAGGAATACTTTTGTGTTAGTGTGCTGTAGGGCTCTCGAATTGCATAGTTCTTATGTATGTGTTGTGAACTTATGGTTATTGAATTTCCGGGAACCTCTTATATTCAATTTCGCATCGGGATTGTGGAACAAGCTGTAATGCGTTCAGTATGTTCATTTTCACACAAAACTGAAGAATTTATTTAGTTATCAGATGTGCGCTACGAAACTCATTTTCTGGGCGTTTTCAAGGCTTCGTCTCACGGCCCATATCCGTGGTAAGGATCTACAAGTGTTTAATAACTTACTTATACATTTTTCAACAACGTCTTAGCATAACTTAACTAATAATAACTAAACAGGGCTATGGAAAGGCTGCCCAACTCAACGCAAGGTCGAGCAGTAATGACTAATATTCATCCGCTCGCTAACAGCTGATTCGATTCAATTGTTACGTCATGCAGCGGTCATTGTTCATTGCCGAAAATGTAGAGAATATAGGACAGGTCGTAGCACATATTTCTTGTAGTAAAAGCGTCTTTTCCGTAAAACGTGCAACTTTTGGAAGTGGGAACAAGGCAATATTTGTTACTGAATTTTTAAGGAACATTTTAAAATCATTTTCAGGTAGTTACCTGATGTGCGCTACGAAACTCACTTTCTAGGCGTTTTTCAAGGCCTCGGCTCGCGGCCTACTAGGATTGTCGATTTTTATCATTAATTCGTTTCATATTGATAAGAGAGGATTCAGGAATTCTTTGCTGCGTCCGCTAGGTGGCGCAAAATGAAATTGTTATTTTCTTTCACTACCGGTAGGCGGTATCCCCCTAAATTTCCCTATTATACTTGGGAATCGCTTATAACCAAAAATGTCGTTTGCAAGATATCTACAAGTCCATTCCGGTAGGTTTATGTAGGTTTAGCACTCCGTTCCGGCAATTTAGGGTCCGTTCCAATAATTGAGGAAAATTATTTTTACCACTGTCCCCCCCAAGTTTGCCTATTTAATATAAAAGTTGCATGGAGGTAGGCTATATGAAATGCCATTTGCAAGACATCTAAAGGTCCATTCCGGTAGGTTTATGTATGTTTTCCACCCCGTTCCGGTAATTAAAGGAACCGGTGCCGTATTGCTGTATTGTTGAGCTATGAAATTTGATACATTGTGTGCAGAAAATTTAAATTTTATGAAACGGCGATTTACGGTAGCCTAGCTTTCTGTAATTTGGTCTAGGCAGTTAGGGGTAACAACACATTTGGAAACCACTGCTCTACAGTTTTTGTAAACATCCACAATGGGGAATCGCTTCTGTAAACTAGACCAAATCGGATATCTGTATAATATTAACTTTGCATAAGACCAAGAAATTTTGGGTCTCATGTAGCCTAGTTTCGTACCTAACATACTTCTAGTGGGCGTAGCGTAACAATTGTTTTGATTTGTTTATATGTATCTTGATTCACTGTATCACATTGTCACCAATGCCAAATCAATGTAGTTTTCATGGTTTCGGATCCTTCTCGTCACCTCATTACATTACATTAGTCTACACCTACACACGTTGTCTTTGTATCGGATAGAATTGGTCCTTATTAGCTTGAGTATTTTAAAAGTAAACTGCAGCCCGAAAGTTTATTACATTCACGTATTTTTTGTGTGTTTATTTCTGGCTCAAGCCTACGAAGTTTGTGTTTTTTTTGTGAATGCGTGTTTGTTAGCGGGCACATGATACTCATCTTGTTTCAAAGGTTTCGCTCGCTCTCCAGAATTCTCCATTTTTATTTGTTTGTATTGTCAGATTGTGGAGTTTTCAAAATAAACTATCTTATCTAACTTACACTTTCATGGTTATTTTGAAATGGCAAACACGATAAAATATCGTTACTTATCATCTACTGGATCTCATTTTCTAGTTTTGCTATGATACCATACCTGCATACTGGCAACAGTTCACGATTCCTCTTATGATTAATTCATATCACAGTATCATCTTCCCTTTTTCTTGTGATAGATATCAAAATCCTATCCTACTTTTATTTGACTAAGTGTGAGGCATAACTGTTATTTTCTATGTTTGCATCAATGATGTTCAACAAACATTTTAATTACCAGTACCCCTACTTTTTCAGCCACTGAAAGGTTGTGATTTCTACTTGCTTTCCATTGAATACTGTCATGTTTACTTCTGCAGATTAAACTATGCTATTTATGCAGAATGTGGTGTTTAGTCACATCCTCTGATAGTTCCCAATATCTTCTGCCATGTAACAAAGACATTATTGTTGGTCGAAAAGATGCTGACATAGTTATAACAGGGGACTCGTCTGTAAGTCGAAAGCATGGTATGCTTAGGATTACACATCCTCCATCAAATTTAAAAAACCCAGAAGCCATTCCAACAATCACTGTCACAGACTCTTCAAAGTTTGGAACTTTTATCACACGACCTGGGACTGAAAAAATAAAAGTGAACAAAACTGCGATACTAAACCCTGGAGACTTCATTCAATTTGGTGCGCAGCAAAGTATCTTTGAGTTGCAACACATTCCCCTTGTGGTAACTTCCTCTTCACTTGAGAATGATGTGAAACAGAGACTGAAAGCCTCAATATTGCAAATAGGTGGACACTTTGTGGATAGCTGGCATCATGGGGTTACCCACATAGTTGTGGAAAAGATCAAATTGAGCATCAAAGTCACTCAAGCATTGGTATATGGATGCCACATTGTTGAACCCAATTATATTTGGAAAATATCAGAATTGTTGAGTAAAACCAAAGTTACTCTTCCATCTGCTGAGCAATACTTGCCAGAACTGGGTGAACCCAATCTATCTGCAGAATTTTGCTCCTTCAAAGTGAATAAACAAAGAAGAAGTGTTTTTAGTGGCCGTACTTTCATTTATCTCTGTAAAAAGCAGCTCAAACGCTTAGAACATACGGTACTTGGTGGTGGAGGTAAAAATGTACTCTTAAATGACTCATCAGTTGATGATGATTTCCTCTCAAGTTCATCAACATCAGTTGTACACTGCGATGTAAATACTGATAGCATAATTGCAAGCAATGCTGAATATGAACATGTTCAGGATGTTTTGATTGAAAATGAGCAGAGATTCATACAGGAACATGAAATTGGTCTTGCTGTTCTTTATTGTGATGCTGCTGTGTATTGCAATCCTTCATTTGATCTCAACTCACAAAACACGTTTACTCAAGCACGTATGGCAGAAACAGAACCAAACGCTACTGAAAGTCGGCCCTTTCAATCAGATGAATCCAGCATTGATACAGTTGAAAGAAAAAGGCTAAGGAGTGTTGACAATGAGGCAACAACATCCGAAAAAGTATCACCAGAGGACAAAAATTTGGCAAAGAAATTCAAAGTCGATGATGCTCCAATAAATATTGATAGACCTTTCGTCCAAGAAAACGACATCATTTCAGATAATATTTCACATAGTTGCCTGGATGACGACAATTTATGGAGTCAGAATTTGGACAGTGCTTCTTTTCGACCAGATAAATCAGTTTTAGACGATGAAGAAATTAGTAAAAGAAATAAAATTAATACTGAAATTGAGTTGAGTAAATTTGAATCTGTTCAAAATTTGCCTGTCCATGGTGAAAAACCTCAAAAACAGTCAGACTCTGTCCAACCAGACATCAACGAAAACCGTAATACCTACTCATCAGTCACAGAGATTCATTCACTTGAAGTAAATATGGATAAACAATCTCACAAATCATTACATTCGGACCAAATGAAACCTGACAATCATATTCAGAAGATGATAAAGAAGGAGCCAAATTTAACAGAACACCCTCCTCCTGACAATAAAATAACCAGCAGTGGGTATGATCCATCTTTTCCAACTAACTTATCCATCACAGATATAGTTCCTCTAATTGTCAAAAAGAAACTGAAAGTTACTGAGGAAAATTTGCCAATTATTGGTGTAAAAAATTTCAAGACATTTAGGAAGATATGGCCAACTTACATGATCAAAAAAGTGCCCGATAGACAGAAGGTTACAGAATCAAGTCCTAGATTTCCATCTCGTATAATTGGGGGAAGTGATTTTTTTGTCAATGAAAGCAGGAATGATAGATCTAATGATATTGGAAAATGGCTTGGTTGTGAATCACAAAATTTTGACCCATTCAACAAAACACCAAGGGTATGAAACTAACTAAATTTTGGTTGACTGCATACTATAGTCATTGTTTTGGCATTTTATATGAATGCTTCAAGGGTAAAAATTAAATGATAAAAAAAGATAATTCAGGAACTTCTCATGCTATTCAAATTTCAAACACAAAAATGATGACTAGGGCCGTCTAATATTGGAATGTATTGAAAGTGACAAGACAAGATCATGTGACCCGATTTAGCTGGTATCTAATTGACACACTTCAGGGAGGAAATTATTCAGAATTTTATTTTATTTCTGACCATTTTACGTTAATTTGATGAATAAACATATCTAATTATCTATTCGTGGGACGCTATCAGCTGCTTAGTAACATAGACTTGGGGATATGCACACTCTTTGGGAATTGAGATACTGTGGAGTGTGGAGATAGTTTTGTACATTTACCTAATAAAAGAATCTTGTTGGGGATGCATGTATACGTTGTTGTAAAGTCGTCAAGGATAGATTGACTGACCCTCCTATTTCCTATTCATCACTATGTCATTCATTCTTCTTTTAAATAAAAAAAAACTATTGTTGTCTTATACCCCATTTAGTCCTTAGTTCCGATCGAAGGAGTCTTAACCTTATTTCCCCCACCCCTCATCTTTTTTTCAATCTGAAGGGGGCTCCCCTTTCTACTGAAAATTTTTAAAAACACTCGTTTAATATTTCTCAGTGGTATATGACCTTCTTGACCGGGAGAATCATGACAGATACAAAAATTATGGTGGTATCTTCAATTTCGTTATGAGAAATTCCACGCATAAATCACGCTAGTGCTTTTGAATACTTGCTAACATATCCCTTTAGCGTTATTTCCTAAATTTATATTTAAAAAAAGCACAAAATGTATAGCATGGTCATATATATATTCGCTATCAACTTATTAGATGCGATGGTCGGGCTAGCTTCTGTGCAGCCAACCTCGAAATTTGTGTTTGTGTATTAGTTTCATGTCTTCGTTTACTTTCATTCTATTTCTTTCCTTGGGTTGATATGTAAAAGTGTTTGAAATCCGCTCTCAGACATGTATGTAACGAAAAGCAGAAGTATTTCAAAGTTTCGAATTTTTGGATATGATTATATAATAATTTCGATATTTTTGGATTTGATTATATGATATATAGCAGGCCTGCACAACATGCGGCCCGCGGGTGATTTAGAAACACGTCACTTCTCGGGTCTAACAATCAAAACCGGCATTGTTATGCAAGCGCGCCGCTACTCCGATAATATTCGAAATCGTGAGATTTAGGTTTTGCACTAGTTTCAATAAATATCGAACTTTGTGTGAAATTGGTGTGCCATTTCGCGCCCTCTAAAGTTTGTCGCTCGACCCCTCGCCCCCCAGTTTGGGAAACCCTGATTTAGATATTTCAGTATTCAGACTGAATCACGCTTAGAACAATATCAGTATACAATCTCACACCCATTAGTGTATATTAGCAACCTATTAATAACCCCATTGTTTTTTACTAGCAGTTTATAAAATCGAAGTTTCTTTTTGATTCAAATTTAGAACTTAAAAAAACAATTCTATCATTTATGAATGGTGCAGAAATTCTCGCACAAAAGATTTTGCTATTTACTGTAAAATTTCAAATAAATTGGAAGAGATTTTATAGAAAAAAAATGTTTTAACAGTCACAAAGGTACAACAGAGGAAGATATATTGCTACTAAACGGATTGTTTGTCTAGCCCACAATGGAAATATTCAATAATGGTAGATATGACTGAATAAATTGTCATACATATTTTTGGGACGATTTTACAAAACTGAACCTGGGTAAAATATTTTCCTGCAGTCAGTCCATACTGCAACACGCAATACCTAATTCTAATAAAAAAGAAATATTGAAAATGAAGGGTACTAAATACATATTTGCCATCTCATATATATATGCAAAAATACTGTACCTTGTTTTTACTCCAGAAAATAAGATTCTTCATATTTTAAAGCTCCCCAGTAATGAAAGTGTTTCATTGAATTTAACTGTTTCACAATATTATTTTGATTTGTAGTTTATCTTGTGAAATATGTATGTCGCAAAGTTTGCGGCCCGCCGGGCCTTAAGATTTGTGCTTGCGGCCCTCGTGGTATTTTGAGTTGTGCAGGCCTGATATATAGCTTTGTAAAACACGATCGATATTAGTGAAACAAACTATCGATGCCCAAATATATGGACACTGAGACCAAAGCGAAATATTTTACCCATAATTTTCCCAAAACCCGCAATATTTTAACCAGATTTTTATCAAACCCCGCTATAGAAGCTCACCAAAGTAAGTCAACTTTAGTCACATTAAACTCACTATAAAGTTGGCTATTTTTTCTCTTATTGATGTGATTGTTGCGTCGCATTGACATGGGACGTGGTCAGGAGAGACATGTGAAAAATTATTACACCACGCGCACTAAAAGTACCAAACTTCGCTAGACCCCCGGTTTCTTATGTTGTTGCTGTTTACACCAGTGGTTCCCAACCATTCTACCCTGGCGGACCGGTAAAATTAAATAAAATGTACACGCGGACCGGCAAAATTGAAATGAGTGAAACAGCAAATAATAACCTATATTTGCGTGATGTCGGGCAATCACTATGCTTTTGGGGGGAAAAAGATACACTCTAAAACATTTCACATGTGCCGTCAAATATTGAAATGTGTGTAACAAAAAATAATAACGTAATAAAATGCAGGTCTGTCTGTTTGTTTGTCTGTTGGATGCACGCGATATCTCAAGAAAGGGAGATTGAATGCTCCAAATTTTGCATGTGCATTCATCATATCTCGGACCAGAAGCCTATTGATTTTAGACGAATTTTGTATAATTTTAGACGATTTAGACGCATAATTAGCGAGTTATTAATTAATTAGGGATGGGACACACGGTGTCACTATGGAGTAAAGACGGATGTATCGAAACCGCAGTTTCTGTTTTGGGATCCCCTACCTTTCGATCGATAAGTCTTCGGTCTCCGACCGATATTCTCGTTATTTGAATTGCGATAATATAGATAGTTTTAAGGTAGGAAAGAACCATTACTAAATAATGGCTCTATTCGTCCTTACAAGTTTGCAATGTCGAAAAAACATCTAGACGGAAATTTTACGACGGGGACGAAAACATTTCTAGTATAAATAGAAATTTCGGACCTCCTGAAGTATGCGCACCAAGATGGCGCACAACCTGAACTCAGGTTGTGTACCAAGGTAGAGTTCAGGTTATGCGACATCTTGGTGCACATACTTCAGGAGTACCGAAATTTCGTTGCACTGTGAAAGGTTTCACAGTGTACAGTTTCACACCAATTAATACAATGCGTGGATACAATGCTGTATGTAACGCTCGGAAGTCCTTTCCGTTGACTCACATTCCATTCAAAAACTTGGATCATAAGAAGGCAACCATTTTAATGTTTTTATATGGTATGATGATATCAACAGTATCCAATACTGAAATAGACAACAATGAACGTGGACAAGAAATATTTAAGCCAGCGTTGACCGAAGTAGAGTAATTTGGTTCATTTCGGTCTTTACCTGCGGGGAGCCAGGCATTCTCGGACACGATCGTATCGAAATAACGGGTCGCATCATTGGCAATATGCCATATCATATTTTGATATGTAAAACTATAATATTTGCCATTATATTTTCAAAAAGCCAGGGATTCAATTTGGATTTGGGCAAGAAAAAACAGCGACATATATGGTATCACCAGTAGTGGGGATCACCCTGTATATATATTATTTCAGAGAAATCTGGAAGCAAGAAAGTTGGACATCCATGAAAGGTCACAAGGTATACAAAAATAAACAATTGAATTCCAAAACGAAGAACATACTTTAATGTATCATATTGAAATATTATGCAAATTAAAGTAGATGTCAAGGCTACACTTGCAAACACGATTGATAAAGCTGGTATGGAAGTGATGCGTCAAACGTCACGAAGCCAATGTTAAATGAAATTACTCAAAGACATTCCAGAAAAACGTTTGAAGAGTTGTGCGAAATGTATACAAAAATTGGCCCGCTGATTGCCGATGCCTGGTTTAAAATAATCAATCGGTACATTACTTTCATTACATTCCATATGACGAATTTTTTGACGTATTTTCTTTTTACAAATTTTTCGCAATTTTTATAATGCGATTCTCCTATCTCGAAGTTGAAATCATCCAGATTGAACTTTCTACTCGATATCATATAGTTCAACAATGCCTGAGTCAAAAAATAACCAATTGATCATTGAACGACATTGTTAAATGCTTTTTTCTGTTTGGAATATCCTTCTTAGGTAATAATCAGGCGCCGGTTTAGCTGTAAAAACCGTCATGCATTAGACTCGAAAACAGTCCAAACAAGATAAGTGCAATGTTCAGAAGTACATGTATGTATTCATTGTAAAATTTCTTCGATTATGTGCGTAATAAATCACTACAGAATCTGGGGTGCCTCAAAAATGTTGTGTGCCACTTGTCCCATTGGTCCCAAACTATCTTTTTAATTTTTATATGCGCACCTAACATTCATTCAAATGAAGCTTTCTTGACACCTAATTTGGTTTACGTGCAATTACCAGACTCAATTTTGCACATACAGCTAGTATACCTAGAGAGAGAGAGTTTATTTGTTTTGTCCACCAGAAAACATATACACAACAAAAACATAATTATTAAAAAGCGAAACAGTTCTCGGTATAGACTGGGTGGCAACGATACGACCATGCGGTCATCGGAGTCTGTTACCACCCAACATTAATATCAATAAACATGAATAAAAAATGCTTTAGATAGGTTTTAACATATTTTAGGTGTGTCCAAAAACAACATTAAATTACCATGGAAAGAAAGGAAAATTACTAAAATATTTGCGTATACACAATAGGCAATAACATATAGGCGTTTAAAGTTAAATAAAATTTCGGACATGTTGTACACTTGATCAAGTGTGGTATTGATCAAATTTTACATGAATATGTATTTTTGAGTAAATGGATGCATCAATTGCCTGCCTCGGTTCCTAAGGCATGTTGCCCAGTATTGAGTCCGATTGCATTAATTTTTCAACAACTTAATGTGTGGATCCTGTGTGGATTGAAAATTAGTTGTAATAACTGTAAAGAGATGATCAAACGGTAAGCATACATTCATTAGTCTTTTGTCATTCATTGGCTAAATATTTGCAATATCAACGCAGTCATTACTGGACACCTTTCTGGATTCTTCCGTTTTAGCAGGTTTTTGTTTCAAGTTAAGAAACTTGAGTCAAGTCTTTCTGAATTCAAATTAACTCATTATGATCAATCGTTAAATTGACTTTGTCGGGATTTTCTCTGACTGGTCTTAACGTTAGTAAGGATTTGACTTGAAACGCATGTCTTCTGCCATGAACGAACTATAACGTCTCTTGTCATGATCATCTTCAATCCACGACACGTGTATATATTCTGCGCGGTACCGAAAAGTACAGACACGACCACGGTGCAGTTTTCATGGTTTCGAGGCATTTCGGGATATAGTTGTGTAGTATAGCCATGTTGGCGGTAGTGCTTGTTGTTTTGAGGCTGCTGGAAGATGAATACAGATCTATCTGATTACAGCGCTGCGCTGCTATTGGAAGTTTCATCTATCATATTATAAAACGTCTGTGAAAATTCTATCACATCTTTATTATAAAAAAAAATTTCTCACGCACAATTGAATACATATTTTTGTACTCAGGAGAAATTTATATATAGTGAAGCTCGCGGAGTTTCACTTTTGATTCATGTTTTAGGGCAAAGTTTAATTGGATATAGGCTAGTAGCCTCGTCATAAGAGGATTCCCAGTGTCCAAATTGAAGATAAAATAATGTGCAAAAAGCCCACTATGACTAAATAACCAAACGTCACCAATTAACTGAGGTAGTATTCCACTGCGATGTGCCATAAATTGGTAACTGCATTGTCTTTGCATTGAGTCATGATATTACACTTGGATCAATAATTTTGTGACTGTTCTAAATTTAATCCACCGGATAACAAAAAAAATGATTATCAAAATGTTGCTGTGCTGCTGTGTTCATTTTACATATATTATAGTAGAGCAGTAGTTCCCAAACTTTTTTGACCATCGCCCCCCTAAAGTAGTTTATACAACTTCATCGCCCCCCTGCACTACAAAAAAATATAAACTCAGAAACGAATTTATTACAGACCAAATAAGAAGACAAATTATAGTTTATAGTGTTTTTTAATGAGATAGATGAGCTTGGTGTTCTTCAGCGAGTTTTTTATTATATCTAAAATTACCCCATTTACTGATGGAAAGGTGATTTCATTGTTCTAATAGCAATAGTAGCACGGCTGAAAACCCCTTTTTCACCATATAATAGGTCGGAAATGAAAGAATTCAGGGTCCTACCTCCTCAAAAACCGCCGTGTACTCTTGCCTTATAGCATCCCAGATAGCACAGCTACGTTGGGCCAACGTTATAATCCGCCGGCAACCGTTGTACGCGGTTTTACAACCATTTACCATGGTAAGGCCATGATTGGCCTTCAACGAAACACGCCATTATGCGAAGAAATGGGCGCGCGATTCGAATATAGCACATGAGGTCGCCATTCATTTTGGCGGTACTCGTAATCGATAGCCTGTATCGAGGTTTTTGCCGTGGATGGGACAGTTAAATTGAACTTTTAATGCTTTCATAGTAGAATGATGAAAGTAGAGATAGTTGTAACTGTGTAAGTTAATCTCATGGTACCGGTACCCTAAGTGCGTTGTCAGGTCACGGTTCATAAGGGTGATACGGTACCATACCGGTAAAAGTTATATTTATCCCTGGCACCGGTAACGACAGCGAGATGAGGTACCGTACTTGGTCTTTTGGCATTTTTTTGTTAAACTTTCTTAGGTTGCCATCTTTCATTTACCAGTATTCGTTATCGAGTACCGGTACCGTACAGTACCTATGGTAGATACCGGTAAAAGTTACATATTTATCCCTGGACACTGTAGGTACCGGTAGCGACAGAACGAGATGAGGTACCGGTACGTTACCGTACTTGGTCTTTTGGCATTTTATGTTAAACTTTCTGAGGTTGCCATCTCTCATTTACCAGTATTCGTTATAGAGTACCGGTATTCAGGTATTGGTCCTTCATCCCTGGCTATGATTTTTTATATTTACTTTATTTGTCTAAGTGCAAACATTTCCGCAGCCCAAATCGCAAATCCAACCCGTTGAACGACTTAATCCAGTAATCTGAATAGTTGTACATTTGAGAACCTTCTGTCTGATGAATTTCAACAAATCTAAATACAGATCTCAATTGGCTGAAATCTAAAATATGTTTTAACAATTGCCACAATCAAACTGAAACTAAAATTTGATGTTTTTAGGTAAAAAATAGCTCAAGGATTATTGTTTTCCATTTTTGTTTTTGTAACACTTTAAATAAAATTTTGTTTTTAAAGTATAACTTTTTATGCCACACATGTGAGATGCGACATGGCCCACCAGTCTAGGTGTGCAAAATTTTTGCACGTGGTCCGAGAACTTTGCCCAACCCTGCTCTAGTTCATATTTTCAGCTTTGTTGAGAAATAAATTACCGGTACTGATTTCTGAATAATATTTTGTTTTAAATTTCAATAGAATTATATTGGTTATATATTAATATGATTTATTTTCAGTATGTATGCTATGTAAGCTTACCCAGCCAACCTTAATTAAGTGTTATTATGTTTTAAAGTGAATTGGAAAGTAGACCGCTAGCAAAAAAGATTTGGGCGACTGGGCGAAGCCCATCTCTGTACAATGACTGCCAAAAGTGCATGCAACTGTGCAATGCCCAGCGACTCTAAAAGCATGAAGTATTGTACGACACATCTTTTACAAATATTTGGACATATTTTGTGTAATATTCATTTTTTTCCGGTTATTCTTAATAATTATTACCAATTAGATATTCTGTCAAGTGTCAATATTACCATTGTAAGTTTAATGATATATACCATTTTTATAATAGACCCTATGACAATGGACTGGAAAATTCACCTGCTCCAATTCCCTCTTTCACGCAATCATACACTGTGTCTTTTCAAGCATCTCAATGTTTCAATGCGAATAAGTCGCTTTTCTAGACCCAAATTTTTGGCCTGATCTTAGGGGGGTCGTCTTATTAGGCGAGTATGATCATTTTTATTTTTGTGTCGCCTTATTATTGAATCGAGACAATAAAATACTTTCGGCAATAGCATACCCCACGTCCTCATCAGGTTAGTTTAAATAAATCGACATTCTCGCGCTGTGAATCTGGAATTTCAATGTTGTGATTATCATATTTGCATTATTATATATGGATTGAATATTACGCTACAAGAAAAAGTCATTTAGAGGCTATTTCAACCAATGCGCAAACGCGGCGACGGCTCGAAAGGCATTGCATGGTAATTCAAGATTCCCAAAGTTGATGCGATTTTACTACCCCGACTTATCGGCCGGTTATATGCAAAAACCCATTTTTTCAGGCTTAAAAACAGGCCTCGTCTTATTCGCTTGAAAATACGGTAATTAATATTAATGAAAAATTTATATTCTGGTAAGTAGTATAGGCCATTCGTTCACGTTTATCATCTGAAAGACAATTATGTACTATACATTGGGTAACACTAACTTGATTTTCAGAGATCAAGCCATGCTCCAATCCAGTCCATGGAAAAATTGTTGGGACAGGCGGTAGAAACTCTTATGCTACAAGCTACAACTTTCCACTGATTATAGTGTGGACTCGGACATACCGGAATTGATGAAATTCATTGTCAATTCATTGTCTGATTACATTTTGATCCAGAATACATTCAAGGATGAAAAAATGGCTTGTAAGTTGAATATTTTTATAAGCTGATTACGGACACTTTACGGCGGTGGTTCCCAAACTTTTTTTTCCGCGACCCCAATTTTTGTAAAATCACAGACTACAGATACTAACGACCCCACAACGAGAAAACATTAAAAATCAATTTATTCTATTCTGAATATTCTATTTAATCATTCTGATGAAAATCGACTGTAAGTTTGCGGGGCGTTGGTGTAACGTGGTTGTACTCAACTGTTTAGTTCAGGGGTTCCCAACCTTTTTACCCCAGCGGGCAAGCAAAATGAATTTAGAAGAGTTTGCTGACCGGTAACACATGCCATCGTATGAAGACCACGATGTAAAAATCTCTGAGATTCAGAATATTTGTTTAGTTTTAGTACAATGTTAAAATATTGCAGATTACTCCATAATTAATTCGAAAGCTAAACAGAACATGAAAGTAAAATAGGTGAAAATACCTTTGCTGGGTCTCATCTTATTGAGTGCCTTTTATTTTTTGTCGTTTTGTTTTTGACTGCATGAAGTGCTTCGAAATTATGTATGAAATACAATTTGCCCCATATTTTCGCTTCGTGTTCAAGGAAGAATATTTAAATGTCTAAATACGATCCGATTGCAATATTAAAATTGTTCACTTTTATACGAATGCGATGTGGACAAAACACATATGTGTATATTTTAGAGTAGATACTCGCGATAATTAACATAGAGCTTTTGCAACGGATGGAAACCTTTTCATTAAATGTATTCTCATAATTGTGCTTATTTACTCATTCCAGATAAGATATTTGTCAAGTCTCGGAGGTTGCTCCAAGAAAGACTGGTTTGGAGAATCATGAGCTCTGTTATAACAAATTTACTCGCCCGCTCTTTCAACTGTGCAGGACGCGGTGGATAAGAAGGAGTGAGTGGGACGCCCTTAGTACCTGAAAGGTATGTAATATGTTTATATGTTAAGTGCCAAATTGTCAATCCAATGTTGCCAGAGTTTGGTGCATAATGGCGAACAGTGGTTTTCGAACTTATTTGTATCATCGCTCCCTTACAGTACTTTTTGCATTATCATCCCCCCCTAGCACAACAGCAAATGATGAAGTTACAAATAAATTTATTGTAAATCAATTAAACAAATAGACTAATCATGGTGCATGATGTTTCTAATGAGATAGATGAATTTCAACAAGGAATATTTGAAGACATTTTAGTCAGATAAAATCTCAAATCATCATTATTCCCTCCAACAAATATTCCCCTCAAAACATTGTCTACGACTCTACGCCCCCTTTGCGGAATCAAGAATTTCTGTATTTCTCAATTATTATTGTCTTGTCAATGTAAGCTTCACTCAAACATTTGCGGCTGCAGAAACTTGGCTTAAGATTCCTCTGAAAATTTGTTGGGATGCAGTCATTCAGACTAGGCTTTGAAATCTAGTGCTGTAATTTGCTAATACTGCAATTTAACACAGAATTTTTATATTTTTCAGCTCTGGATGATCTGTCAACGAACTCCGATTAATTTTATTACATGTATACATATTTGTAAAATAAAGACATTTTGTTATCTTTTGTTTTTTATTATATAAATAATGTTAGATTAGTGGGAAATTTCTATGTAGTATAGATCAGTACGATTGGTCTGTACAACACATCGCCTAACTTGGCCCGACCATATGCCACGATTGTATTACAACGTGTCACCTACCTAGGCCCGGCCATATTTCACGATTGTGTTACAACGTATCGCCTACGTTGGCCCGACCGTTTGCCACGGTTGCATTACAGCGAATGGACCGACGTTGGCCTAGCGGCCAAATCTTCGCTGGAACATGGTTGTTCGCCATTATTGGGCCGGTGGTTCGAACAACGTTCGGCCATAGTTGTTCCGACGTAGTTGTGCTATCTGGGATTTCACTTCCTAAATTCACCCCATTTCACATTAAAATAATAAGAACAAAAATAATTTTCCCAAACTTATAATAATGATTTTCGTACATTTCATTCATTCGTACAGCCTGATGACCTGCACCAAAATACTTCGGAAAAATCCATCCCCGAGTCCTCATCCTATCACGGCCTCCAGTCCATAATTAACCAGCCATTTTTTTGGATTCATGGACTCGGATGTGGAAGAAGCCGTGACTGACTATCGGCTACGGCCCAGGGGTCGGCAAATTTTATGTCGCTCGCAGGACAAAATTCAGGGTTGCTAGTCTTTTGCGGGTCGCATATATTTTTTGAGAGTTAAAAACGGAACACACGCGAAAACTGCGACAATCGTGAACTCAACTCAGTCGTCTTATTAAAAAAATATTACAATGACATTTAATGTGACACTGTCTTGTTGCTGCATCGCGCTGGATAGCTTTACGACGCCAAGATTGGAAAAATTTCTAAATGGGCATCACCAAACCCACTTCTTTGCTTGCTCTTTGTAATGTGCATTTTCGAAAATAATGGTTTGCACAAATATGTACTTCCAAACATCGAAGTGAATATTTTCGCACGATTTGTGAAATTTTGATAAATATATATTTTCTTTAAGAAGATACATTCTTACAAAAATCAAGCAGTGATGAATCTCCCGAATATGAATATGAATTTTATTTCCTTATTGCTTTGCAATATATTCGAATATTTACTGCGCTATTGAACCCCTGCACTCAGCATCAACTGTTCACTAAATTGTTAGGATATAGTATAATTTACTCTAAACGTGTCTCACGATAAATTCTGTTACGTAAAAAAATGTAATTTACTCCTCGAGCGTAGATTATAAATAAAAAATTTTCATCGTCAAAACCGCCGTTTGGATATTTCCCCGGGCATAGACTTCCTTGTTTACTTCGTGACATTGGCCAATCAGCAAGATGCAAAAAACGTAACAATGCCCCCTTTCGCAGGCGCTCAGACACTCTCACTCGGACAGATTTTCAGGGGTGGTCGTGAGCACTACCTCATTTTCGCGTTTTTGAATTATATTCGTTAGTATTTAGTTGTTTTTCGGGAATTTAAATATAAATCAAATAAGTCAATGATTACTTTGTCTTTCTATGAGTTTCAGTTTAAATACAGCAATCAAAAATTAGTGTAGAAATAGCTATGATAGACTAGGCTAAAATTCTTTATCGGTACTTTTAAAAAACAGATTGTCAAATGGTGTGTATTAGAATGATAGTTTGAATCAAATACCCCATTTTACAGGCCACAGCTCGCGAAACCACTCTTAAAATAAGCACCGAAAATTTTAAAATGGTAAAGTATGGAAAGAATTTTCCGCGGTCAAAGGTCGGGGAAAGGTCCATTCAGTGAATCGTCCCGGGCCAGAATATTTTACTTCGGCAGTATTTTGCCGACCACCACTACCTTACCTTACTGCAAAGACGAGACCAGAAATTCTTTCGCGTGTGAATATCGCCCACATGTTTCAAGCCTGCGAATGCACACAGAGTACAGAATTAAGTGCGCCGAACATAAAACGAAATCGCCCCCTCAGACTTTTTCGCCCCCCTCTGTATCGTTTTCGCCCACTGGGGGGCGATATCGCCCACTTTGGGAATCACTGTAGTAGAGTCTGATCTTCCAAACCTCGTATCATCAAGAAAAATTCCCAGCGTTATACTAAGTTAGCTGTAAGACTTCATCTGATTGCTGCCACTACTTTTTATGACAACTATTTTTTCAAGAACTTCAGTTCTGCGGAATTAACTTTTGCTGTAACTGTTTTTCTTTTCGCCAACCAGCATATTCAATTCTATAATACTTAATTTGAAAATAAAATTCCCACACATCTCTATCATATTTTGAATTATTTATTTATACCATTTGTTTTATTTTAGGTATATTTCAAATGAAATGATAAACTAAATATACCCCATGATCGTATAGCAATGGTTCAGATAATACTCAATATTGTATCGATATTGGAAAATACTTTGTTTTAATTTATTTGGAATTATTTCCCTACGTGATATTCGTAGCAGTTATGAAAAATAAAATAGGAAAACCGATCTTTGCATCCACTTTTAAAAGTTTCTGTAATCTCTTGCTATACACTCCAATTGTCGGTAAAATTGAAATTGAAGTATACTATACTACAATGCGTTGATATTCCAATTTCGAGTTTATTCAACATTAGGGTCGTCTATAAATTTTATTTTTATACTTGCTAATGTGCGTGGAAGCCCGATTGCGTTTGGGCATTGAGAGTCCCCAAAACGCGCACCAAAATCTACGCAAATTTCATCTCGTGCATGCTAATAGTTAACGTAAGTCTTAGCGATTGAAACGTCTTCACCAAACCGAAAAATTGTAAACTAGCATTTATGATTCAGAAGATATATAAAGTCCGCGAAGAAATATTTGGAAAAGAGCTTTGCAGGGAGAATTTAGCGCATTTCGACGACACGACAGCTATTGCGAGAAACACATTTAAGCATTGCAAAGAGTTCTCCGACGATTTGAATACGTCATTTCAATCTTTGCTGCGCTGATTCTGTCACTGCTGCTGATGGCGCTGCTTACACGGCGACAGATATTTTAAAAAACACAAACGAAATTAGTCTTTCGTAAGCCTTAAATATACTTCCATGTCCATTTAAGCGAGAAATTATTAATAACTAATGCGGGATATTGCCACCAAACTCAATCATACCGGACTTACAGTAACCAGTTTTTCGAACCACAATTCGAATCGTTCATTATAATTTAAATTGGATTAGAATATACATTCACCCGCAGAATCTCAAAGGCATACTCGTGAAACCCGTGAAAAGCGACGTCATCAACGAATTTAATCAAAACCAAAACCATGGTAGCGGTAATACGCCTCGGTTTTTTTTATACGTTGTTTCATATAAGATTAATTGGTTGGATTTCGGTTATATCGTTAACTGAAACTACCATCTCAAGAATATACTGTCGATTACACCCAATGAACTTAATTTGAAAAATTAAGACTTGCTTTGTGAAATATTCGTGATGCGTTTCAGAAATGCTACTATGAATTATTTGCCTAAATACCAATTGCCAAAAAGGCTTTATAACTTATTTCAATATATGTTTGCATGTACGCTAAACCGAGTAACTGGAATAACATTGGAATGTCAATTTACAACTTTTCAAACATTGTTGTCCATTTAAAAGCCTAAGTCAGCGTCTGAATATTTGAAGATAACACGTTATATACATTTGATACAGCGTCTGACACGCTGAAAACACATTGACAAACAAATTATGTTCATATTTCCAGAAATAGATAACACGATTTCAGTAAAGTATTCCAGATATTTTGACATTTTACTTCGACATGAATGAACAAAAATTAATTTCATAACTTCGATTTGGTTTGGTTCTTCGGAACTCAATTTCACTCAATATCATTTCGTTCATCTAGTCAAGTCTACTGGTGATATTGATTATACCGATTACATGCTTGCATTAGTCCAGGTAGGTATTCACTGGGGTTTTCGATGCCACCTCAACAGCTGCTACAAATTCCGTGTCGGATGGTAAATCAAGCGAGTTTCATCCATTTCAGTGTAAGAAAATGAAACATTTCGTGAAGTATTTCGTTTATATATATAATTGTATAAAATTAGTTTTATAATCTTCCCGATGCCATATATTCTTTAATTACATATATTCAATTAATTAGATTCATACAGGAGCGTTCCCATCCGCCCCCATAAACTAATCATACTTGTTGTAGATATCTCCAGTAAATGAAGTTTGTAAAATTCCTTCACAATAGTTATATTTTTCAGCCGGTTTTGTTACAAACAGAACATTGACAGTAACCAGTAATGCTAACCGGTTCTCTGATCTCATAAAATTCCGTGAGACGGTTTTATAGAACCGGTGTGAACCGGCTGAATCCCACCACTGGATGGATATACGTGATTTAAATTTAGCCACGCGCATAGATAGCAGGTTTATTTAACGTTTTTACACTGGACAATATTGAATCTACTGTGACGTCACCATGACTTCATGTTAATTGCGTGCAGTACTTCTGAGCATTCTGACGAATCTATGATGCAGACAGTATGCTAAATATGCCTCTTGCGCTTTCGGGTTTATTCATATTTTCAATACACTTATTGCTATCAAAATTTGTTAAGACATTCTTACGCCACCAAGACCCATCAGAAATGACTGGAAGTATGAGTGGATCAATTTGTGCCGTCTTAAGTCCATTAGACCTAAAAGTCACTTCCAGATTATTTGGAAACAAATTTTCTGTAATTCTGAAGGTGAGAGAACACATTAGCTAATCCAGTGGTTCTTATCTTTACGAACATGCCGAATCCTCTATGTAGGACATGGAATAAAATGCTGCCAATACGAACTTGCATGGAAATGCAATCTTTGCCTTATTCGAATATCATGTGATTTGTCTTAACTAAGTGTACTTGCTAATCCTGCTTAAGCTATTTCTAGATCAATTTCCATCCAAATGCTTCAATAGTTTTATTGGAATCACAAATATATATCAATATTGGGCTATTTTACAATATATATATAGTAATGTAAGAGAAAATTCCTTACAAGGAATACATAATGCAAAATTTTGATTATGAATGGATATATGTCATTGAGATATTCCTCTCCCTACCTTGCTATTTCAAATCTTGATAATATATTTATAAACAATAGAAGTACCTTCAAAACATGAGTAACCTTCGTATAAATTGAATTGTCGAAGTTTATCGAATTTAGCAAATTATTATGAAAATTTTGTAATGTGTAATATTAACATTGAACGAAGTCACTACAAACCCTCAGAGATGCAAGAGATCTGT